TTTTCATCCGGAGGTATCCCCAGGTATAGCTTCCTTATATACGTTCCACACATGGCAGGATATTTGGGGTTACGATAGGGAATACAGTGTACAGGGTGTTTGGGCATGCAGGGCTCATGTTCAGATTCAGGGTGTGAGGTTTAACAAGTCCAGGTTTAGGGCTTAAGGTTTTGAGTTTAGGGTTTAGCGTACACGGCCTATAGGAAACAGGGTAAACCCTTAACTCCAAGTCCTCTGCTCCGGAGACCTTACCCTGCACCTCTGGTTTGGAAGAGTTTAGGGTTGAGGGTTTAGCGTCCCTACAACTCTGGTGTGGAAGAGTCGACACACACACACACACACACACGCGCGCGCACGCACCCACTCCGAACTGTTTTGTCCTGTGGCATCTCATCAGTTTTTGTTGGATCCCGGTCTGCAGCACGTCCTCTACCAAATTCATACTGCAACCCTTAACCCTCGCCCAAGGGTTTACGGTTCGGGTTTGGGTGTTGAGTGTTGGGGATTAGGTGCATGGGCAACTGTCGTTTCTTCTTACAGCATGACGGAAGCGGCTCTGAGTACGGAACGACCACCATTACAACTGCTTCTACTGGTATTCTGACTCTCCTGTTACTCTCCGACACAACCCGGGCCTGCAAATAAATCTACTGTACAGACCAAGCACAGGAACCCAATAATATAGGGGCCTTATAATAAGGAACCCCCAAAATAGTATTGGTAATTATTAAGGCCCCTATAATAGTATTGAAAGGCTCTTCTGTTGACCAAGTGAGGTAACACGGCTCCGGCCCGACCAGGCGAAGTGTACCGACAAACCTCTTACCAGAGATAGAAAGTAATGTGGGGCCCATTATACTAAACTTATAATAAGGAATCCCCAAACTAGTATTGGTAATTATTAATTATTGTAGCCCCTATATTCGCGGAGGAGCGGAAATCACGAAAAGGCCGTGCTGCTTCTGGACGCGGCTGGCTTGGGACCCCGGCCTTTCTCTGCGAACCGTAGCTTGAAGCCGTAAAGGGTTCCCTAAAGCGATCTATGGGGGGTTATGGGGGTTTAAGGGGCTTGGGGGCTTAGGGTTTAGGGTTTGAGAGCGCAGCATGCCGTGGGAAACAACTTCTTGAGGCACAACGACCAGCTCTGATGACTTAGCTCTGAACAGAAGGTACCAGTCGCAGCCTGCCAAGCAGCTCTGCGCACTTGAAATTCAGGGTAGTACCAGTAGTACTAGGGTAGTTCTCTAAATTAGGGTCCCTTTCAGGGCCCTTTGTATAAGGGTTCCGTACTATATTTGGGATCTAAAAAGGGATCCTAATTTAGAGAACTACCCACTAGTAGGAGCAGGCCCTGGGGTCCCTGATAGCCTTGCCAAGTTTTCTGCGACAATCCCCGCTTCGCGGGCGAGCAGCTCGCAATTTCGAACCGCTGAGGTGCCGTTTTTTTAGGATGCCCTGCCGTTTTGGGGGCTTGGGGCTTTTGGGGTTTGGGGATCAGGGTTCTAGGGTTTGGGGGGTGTTTAGGGCATTTGTGGGTTCAGGGTTTAGGGCTTTTCGGGTTAAGGGCAGTAGGATCGGGCCCAAGATTCGGACCTCAACGATAAGTTCCACGGCTTCCTTGCCTGGGAGTTGTGACTATGAAGCTTCACAGAATTTAGGGCCTACCTGTGGATCCGAAAACCTACTGCTTCAGGGTTAGATACACTAGTCAAGGGGTTCTAACCTACTGTTTTGCAGGATTTGTTGATGCAGGTCGGGATTGTCTTCAGGCGTCTGGAATTTGGCTTCTTGTTGTCAGGCCCTTTTTTTGAACCCAGGCTCTCTTTGCTATCAGCTGCTGACAACCCTAAACCCTAAACCTTGAACCCCTAAACCCTAAACCCTAAACCCGAGTACAGTTAGGCTGCAAGCCTTTTGTCTGCATGGGATAATAAACACAAGGCGACATGAAGCTGAAGGTCTGCCGGTTTAGGGTTTCCGGTTTAGGGTGGCTCCCGAAAGCCCCAGAACCATTAGGGCTTACATCATATAGGGACCTTAGCAATTGGAATGGGATATGGGGTGTATCATGTTATAGTAACACTTAAACAAATAATAGAGTGACGACTTCTTCAGGCTTCTAGAGTACCAAATCCCTAAACCCATCTAAACCCTAAACCCTGAATTCCTAGCCTGGCTTACATGAGGTCTACACCCTTAAACCTGGAGTAGACTGCTCATGCTTCAGGTGGCCTCTAAACTTGGCTTAGTGTTTCTTTAATGACTTTAGGGTTTAGGGCTCTATAGGGTTTGCGATCTCGCAACAGGGCTCTAGAAGGTTTAGGGTTTGGGGTTTAGGGCTGGGTTGTTGTTTATCAGGGTAGGGTGTAGGACTTCTTTCACGAGACTCTCTGCTCACCGGTATGGACGAGGTGAAAGTGCGCAAATCTGGATATGAAGGGCCCCACAATTGAGCTCCACAAACACCAAACCAAAGACTTCAGAAGGCAGTATCCCCAGAAACTGGCGGGCTTCAGTACCTTCGGCTCACGTGCTAGTTGGGTCTCTGATAAAAACTAGAAGACGAGTGGCCCGAAAGCATCATTTGCCAAGAGTTTAGCGCTATGTAAAGTCATAGAGTGAAGTACATGAAGTCATAGAGTCAAGTGCATAGTTTGAGTACATAGAATCCAGTGCATAGAGTGATAGAGTCAAGTGCATAGAGTCATCAAGTACATAGTCCAGTGCATAGAGTCAAGTACATAGAGTCATAGTCGAGTGCATAGATGCATAGAGTCTCTTTGTGCACTTCTGTCGATGTACTTTAACTCTGTATACTGTGGTAAATGCACTGAATGGGATGTCAGAGAGTGAAGTAGTCATAGAGTCATAGAGTATCATCATCACTCTATGTTGATCGCCCAATACACTATGCACTTGACTCGATGTTCTTGACTCTATGGACTCTACGTGTATCTCCACTCTATGTTTATCGTCACTTCAGTCTGTGTTTGTCACCCAATGCACTCGACACTATTTACTCGACCTTACATATACTTGACTCGATGTTTATCGTGACTCTATGTTTATCATCTATGTACTTCTCTCGATGGCTTCGTACAGACGTAATAGGTTGCGCGGGAACCCTAAAACTAGCAACTTTACCTCGCGTTCCTGCACTCGACCACGCCAATCCCCGTAAAGGGTTGCGAGCGGCGCCTAGAAGTTGCAACTTTACCTCGCGTTCGTGCACTCGACAACGTAAAGGCTTGCGCGGGAACCCTAGAAGTATAGCAACTTAGAAGCGACTTTACCTCGCGTTCCTGCACTCGACCACGCCAATCCCCGCAAAGGGTTGCGAGTGGCCTAAAAGTTGCAACTTTACCTCGCGTTCCTGCGCTCGACCACACGAATCCATGGGAAAGGTTGCGCGTGCACCCTAAAAGTTGCAACTTTACCTCGCGTGCGTGCACTCGACCACACGAAGCCATGGGATGGGTGGTGCACCCTACAAGTTCCGAAAAGTAGTAACTTTACCCTCGCGTTCGTGCACTCGACCACGCGAATCCGTGGTAAGGGCTGCGCGTGGCGCCGACAATTTGCAATTTTACCTCGCGTTCGTGCACTCGACCACGCGAATCCATGGTAAGGGCTGCGCATGGCGCCGACAATTTGCAATCTTACATCGCGTTCGTGCACTCGACCACGCGAATCCATGGTAAGGGTTCATTCCCGATCGATGACATCTGTGCCGCCCCGGCTTTAAAAATATAGCTAGATATACTGAGATGTAAGTAAGATATACCGAGATGTAAGTATACCAAGATGTAGATAAGTCGGGTACTCGGTATACTTCACTGAGTGTACTATGCACTTGACTCGATGTACTTCACTCTGTGTACTATGCACTTGGCTCGATGTACTTCACTCTATGTACTATGCACAACTGTGCACTTGACTCGACGATGCACTTGACTCGATGTACTTCACACTGTGCACTTGACTCTGTGTATTTGATCCTATGTACTTCTCTCAAGGGCTTCGCACGGAAGAATCCTTCGCGATGCTTTCGGGAAAACCCTAAACGCCTCACCGCCTCACCCGAAATCCCTCAGCGGCCGCTGCCTTAATCATTAAACTTCGGGACGTCCCGACGCGGGCTTGCTGCGTGTTCCGAACCCGGCAGCCGGGTAATATACTTGGAGGCTCATGGGACTTAGTAAGTACAGTTATAAGTTATAAGTTACTTAATTGGGGTTCAAAGTAAGTATACGTATCGCTACCTTACTTCTAACCCTAGTTACTAAGTCCCATGCACCTCTCAGTAGGGGACGTGAACTATACATGTATATAGTGTTACTGCTTATTATAACTTCTCGCCCCTGCGTACGTATCAAGCTTCTTATTTACAATAGGGCTCCATAGCAACCCAGAAATATCCTCGCAAGTTCGTAAAGCCCTCAAGTTCTAAGAGTTCAGCCCCCTATACTTGGGTTCGGAACACGGTAGCTGAAACACCCCCTCGTTTGAGGAGACTTTAAGCCCGCAGTTTGCACAAAGCTCGGGATCGAAAAGCTTCGGGCTTCTCTGGTCTTGTCGATTAACCAGGTTACCTTAA